TATACAGTATGACAGCGATGGCCTATTTTTAATTTGTAGTCAATGGCAGCGAGCGTGAAAGCAGTATTAATTCTGCTTGCTAGAGATGCAATAGCCGAAGTGAGGACAGTCCAAAAGGCTAGAATGTCTTCAATCTTTTTAATTTGATAGGATCTTCTGAGAATAAATTTCACGCTGAACAGGTGGTCGAGGAGGCAGCAATCCCATGAAAAAGAGGCCTGCTGTTCTCACCTGAAGTCAGAATCCTCCCTATGCAAAACCCTAGCGGCGGATGATCCTCAGGCCATTTGTTTCACACGTCAGCTTTCATAAAACTTGCAGAAACTATGATAAACGGGTCAAGATATTTTGCCTGGTACTGTGAACTGCGTAAGGATTCAGGTATTGAGTCCTTTTATTACATGTTTTGCGCCTTGTACATGAAGCATTGTTTGAGAAAAATGCAGCTGCATTGCTGAAATTGAGATGAAGGTGTTGTAAGCACAGTGTAAGGGCGGAAACATGGTGGCCGCAGGAATGGGAAAGCGAAACGAAAAAAGCAGGCCTAGCTGGCACAAATGCACATCTTCGGTGAACTTGGCGAAGAACGCTGGTACATACCATGTAAGATGAGAAAGGTCACTCCTCCGGGGTATGACGTACAGCTAATCGGTGCATTTTGGCATCGACATTGGTAAAGAAACACTCTTGGACAATGAGTGAGCTTTCTGTTGATATTTCATGCAATAGCGCCCACTAGCTCCAACGCTGAGACTGCCGCTCAGGCTTGCGTTGTTTATATTTTTCAGATGACGCGCTCCAGAAATTAGTAGTGGGGAGCAAGGGATGTTGCCCAGCTTGAAACGCCTGAATGTGCGTAGTTGTATGTAGCACATGTCTACCTTTATGCTGAGTTTTTTGTCTGCAAGGTTGCTTGGATTTCGGCATGGAATTAACCATTGGGACGGGGAATTTTCTGGAAATCATGATTTATGCTGGGAAACTGCACAGTGAGCCCCTGCGCAAGTCTTACTCGTTAGTATAGTGACTAGTATCCCCGCCTGTCACGCGGGAGACCGGGGTTCAATTCCCCGACGGGAGTCCTGCTACCTTTTCTTGTCTCAGCTGGGGAAGTGGGGCGCAATTGTCAGGACAAATACCATTTTGTAGCTAGCTTCAGCAAGCAGCAGTTGCACTTTCTTTCAAGTAAGGACAATGGATAAAACAATGTTCATTTCGCAGTGGAAATGAAGCAGATTGTGGGTCCCCAGTGTGTCAGTGTCCTGCTTTTTGTGCATTGGTGGTTCAGTGGTAGAATTCTCACCTGCCATGCAGGAGGCCCGGGTTCGATTCCCGGCCAATGCAGTTTCTTTTCGGTGTACTCTTCTGGGCCTCCCGAACAGGACTACCAGCATGACATGAATGCATCACTTACGTACATTGCTATTCATCTCCCAGTGAAAGTCAGGAGGCAGCAGCTGCTTATACATCTCTCAATGTCCCTTATGGCTTTGTAAATATTAGTCCTCCCAGTTTTAATCAGCTAATTAAATGGGTAGGACAGAAAAACAGGCAGCCAACAACCATTTTCCCCAATGTAATCACAGTTCCAACTTCTTCATGAGGATAATCAAAACTGAGGCAAAATCATTTTGCTCTCTTTGTTACATCTCAAGGGGAAGAGCAGTCGTCAATGTTTTGAAGATACAAAGGCGATGGGTAGGTTCTGCCAAAATACTTACGAGATGAGAGAATGTTAAAGGACACGACTTTCCAGATAAGTCCGAGTTGAAACTTGAAATTGAAGAAGTTCCTTTTATAAAGCGTCAGTTGAGGTTGACTGAAGTTGTTTGAATTCTCGGGTTATACAGTATGACAGCGATGGCCCATTTTAATTTGTAGTCAATGGCAGCGGCGTGAAAGCAGTATTAATTCTGCTTGCTAGAGATGCAGTAGCCGAAGTGAGGGACAGTCAAAAGGCTAGAATGTCTTCAATCTTTTTAATTTGATAGGATCTTCTGAGAATAAATTTCACGCTGAACAGGTGGTCGAGGAGGCAGCAATCCCATGAAAAAGGGCCTGCTGTTCTCACCTGAAGTCAGAATCCTCCCCATGCAAAACCCTAGCGGCGGATGATCCTCAGGCCATTTGTTTCACACGTCAGCTTTCATAAAACTTGCAGAAACTATGATAAACGGGTCAAGATATTTTGCCTGGTACTGTGAACTGCGTAAGGATTCAGGTATTGAGTCCTTTATTACATGTTTTGCGCCTTGTACATGAAGCATTGTTTGAGAAAAAATGCAGCTGCATTGCTGAAATTGAGATGAAGGTGTTGTAAGCACAGTGTAAGGGCGGAAACATGGTGGCGCAGGAATGGGAAGCGAACGAAAAAGCCAGGCCTAGCTGGCACAAATGCACATCTTCGGTGAACTTGGCGAAGAACGCTGGTACATACCATGTAAGATGAGAAAGGTCACTCCTCCGGGGTATGACGTACAGCTAATCGGTGCATTTTTGGCATCGACATTGGTAAAAAACACTCTTGGACAATGAGTGAGCTTTCTGTTGATATTTCATGCAATAGCGCCCACTAGCTCCAACGCTGAGACTGCCGCTCAGGCTTGCGTTGTTTATATTTTCAGATGACGCGCTCCAGAAATTAGTAGTGGGAGCAAGGGATGTTGCCCAACGAAACGTCTGAATGTGCGTAGTTGTATGTAGCACATGTCTACCTTTATGCTGAGTTTTTTTTGTCTGCAAGGTTGCTTGGATTTCGGCATGGAATTAACCATTGGGACGGGGAATTTTCTGGAAATCATGATTTATGCTGGGAAACTGCACAGTGAGCCCCTGCGCAAGTCTTACTCGTTAGTATAGTGACTAGTATCCCCGCCTGTCCACGCGGAGACCGGGGTTCAATTCCCCGACAGGGAGTCCTGCTACCTTTTTCTTGTCTCAGCTGGGGAAGTGGGCGCAATTGTCAGGACAAATACCATTTTGTAGCTAGCTTCAGCAAGCAGCAGTTGCACTTTCTTTCAAGTAAGGACAATGGATAAAACAATGTTCATTTCGCAGTGGAAATGAAGCAGATTGTGGGTCCCCAGTGTGTCAGTGTCCTGCTTTTTGTGCATTGGTGGTTCAGTGGTAGAATTCTCACCTGCCATTGGGAGGAGGCCGGTTCGATTCCGGCCAATGCAGTTTCTTTTCGTTGTACTCTTCTGGGCCTCCCAAACAGGACTACCAGCATGACATGAATGCATCACTTACGTACATTGCTATTCATCTCCCAGTGAAAGTCAGGAGGCAGCAGCTGCTTATACATCTCTCAATGTCCCTTATGGCTTTGTAAATATTAGTCCTCCCAGTTTTAATCAGCTAATTAAATGGGTAGGACAGAAAAACAGGCAACCAACAACCATTTTCCCCAATGTAATCACAGTTCAACTTCTTCATGAGGATAATCAAAACTGAGGCAAAATCATTTTGCTCTCTTTTGTTACATCTCAAGGGGAAGAGCAGTCGTCAATGTTTTTGAAGATACAAAGGCGATGGGTAGGTTCTGCCAAAATACTTACCGAGATGAGAGAATGTTAAAGGACACGACTTTCCAGATAAGTCCGAGTTGAAACTTGAAATTGAAGAAGTTCCTTTTATAAGCGTCAGTTGAGGTTGACTGAAGTTGTTTGAATTCTCGGGTTATACAGTATGACAGCGATGGCCCATTTTTAATTTGTAGTCAATGGCAGCGAGCGTGAAAGCAGTATTAATTCTGCTTGCTAGAGATGCAGTAGCCGAAGTGAGGACAGTCAAAAGGCTAGAATGTCTTCAATCTTTTTAATTTGATAGGATCTTCTGAGAATAAATTTCACGCTGAACAGGTGGTCGAGGAGGCAGCAATCCCATGAAAAGAGGCCTGCTGTTCTCACCTGAAGTCAGAATCCTCCCCATGCAAAACCCTAGCGGCGGATGATCCTCAGGCCATTTGTTTCACACGTCAGCTTTCATAAAACTTGCAGAAACTATGATAAACGGGTCAAGATATTTTGCCTGGTACTGTGAACTGCGTAAGGATTCAGGTATTGAGTCCTTTATTACATGTTTTGCGCCTTGTACATGAAGCATTGTTTGAGAAAAATGCAGCTGCATTGCTGAAATTGAGATGAAGGTGTTGTAAGCACAGTGTAAGGGCGGAAACATGGTGGCCGCAGGAATGGGAAAGCGAACGAAAAAGCCAGGCCTAGCTGGCACAAATGCACATCTTCGGTGAACTTGGCGAAGAACGCTGGTACATACCATGTAAGATGAGAAAGGTCACTCCTCCGGGGTATGACGTACAGCTAATCGGTGCATTTTGGCATCGACATTGGTAAAGAAACACTCTTGGACAATGAGTGAGCTTTCTGTTGATATTTCATGCAATAGCGCCCACTAGCTCCAACGCTGAGACTGCCGCTCAGGCTTGCGTTGTTTATATTTTTCAGATGACGCGCTCCAGAAATTAGTAGTGGGAGCAAGGGATGTTGCCCAGCTTGAAACGTCTGAATGTGCGTAGTTGTATGTAGCACATGTCTACCTTTATGCTGAGTTTTTTGTCTGCAAGGTTGCTTGGATTTCGGCATGGAATTAACCATTGGGACGGGGAATTTTCTGGAAATCATGATTTATGCTGGGAAACTGCACAGTGAGCCCCTGCGCAAGTCTTTCTCGTTAGTATAGTGACTAGTATCCCCGCCTGTCACGCGGGGAGACCGGGTTCAATTCCCCGACAGGGGAGTCCTGCTACCTTTTTCTTGTCTCAGCTGGGGAAGTGGGCGCAATTGTCAGGACAAATACCATTTTGTAGCTAGCTTCAGCAAGCAGCAGTTGCACTTTCTTTCAAGTAAGGACAATGGATAAAACAATGTTCATTTCGCAGTGGAAATGAAGCAGATTGTGGGTCCCCAGTGTGTCAGTGTCCTGCTTTTTGTGCATTGGTGGTTCAGTGGTAGAATTCTCGCCTGCCCGCAGCGGGAGGCCGGGTTCGATTCCGGCCAATGCAGTTTCTTTTTAGGTGTACTCTTCTGGGCCTCCCGCAACAGGACTACCAGCATGACATGAATGCATCACTTACGTACATTGCTATTCATCTCCCAGTGAAAGTCAGGAGGCAGCAGCTGCTTATACATCTCTCAATGTCCCTTATGGCTTTGTAAATATTAGTCCTCCCAGTTTTAATCAGCTAATTAAATGGGTAGGACAGAAAAACAGGCAACCAACAACCATTTTCCCCAATGTAATCACAGTTCCAACTTCTTCATGAGGATAATCAAAACTGAGGCAAAATCATTTTGCTCTCTTTGTTACATCTCAAGGGAAGAGCAGTCGTCAATGTTTTGAAGATACAAAGGCGATGGGTAGGTTCTGCCAAAATACTTACCGAGATGAGAGAATGTTAAAGGACACGACTTTCCAGATAAGTCCGAGTTGAAACTTGAAATTGAAGAAGTTCCTTTTATAAGCGTCAGTTGAGGTTGACTGAAGTTGTTTGAATTCTCGGGTTATACAGTATGACAGCGATGGCCCATTTTTTAATTTGTAGTCAATGGCAGCGGCGTGAAAGCAGTATTAATTCTGCTTGCTAGAGATGCAGTAGCCGAAGTGAGGGACAGTCCAAAAGGCTAGAATGTCTTCAATCTTTTAATTTGATAGGATCTTCTGAGAATAAATTTCACGCTGAACAGGTGGTCGAGGGAGGCAGCAATCCCATGAAAAGAGGCCTGCTGTTCTCACCTGAAGTCAGAACCTCCCCATGCAAAACCCTAGCGGCGGATGATCCTCAGGCCATTTGTTTCACCGTCAGCTTTCATAAAACTTGCAGAAACTATGATAAACGGGTCAAGATATTTTGCCTGGTACTGTGAACTGCGTAAGGATTCAGGTATTGAGTCCTTTATTACATGTTTTGCGCCTTGTACATGAAGCATTGTTTGAGAAAAAATGCAGCTGCATTGCTGAAATTGAGATGAAGGTGTTGTAAGCACAGTGTAAGGCGGGAAACATGGTGGCGCAGGAATGGGAAAGCGAGCAGAAAAAAGCCAGGCCTAGCTGGCACAAATGCACATCTTCGGTGAACTTGGCGAAGAACGCTGGTACATACCATGTAAGATGAGAAAGGTCACTCCTCCGGGGTATGACGTACAGCTAATCGGTGCATTTTGGCATCGACATTGGTAAAGAAACACTCTTGGACAATGAGTGAGCTTTCTGTTGATATTTCATGCAATAAGCGCCCACTAGCTCCAACGCTGAGACTGCCGCTCAGGCTTGCGTTGTTTATATTTTTTCAGATGACGCGCTCCAGAAATTAGTAGTGGGAGCAAGGGATGTTGCCCAACAGAAACGTCTGAATGTGCGTAGTTGTATGTAGCACATGTCTACCTTTATGCTGAGTTTTTTGTCTGCAAGGTTGCTTGGATTTCGGCATGGAATTAACCATTGGGACGGGGAATTTTCTGGAAATCATGATTTATGCTGGGAAACTGCACAGTGAGCCCCTGCGCAAGTCTTACTCGTTAGTATAGTGACTAGTATCCCCGCCTGTCACGCGGGGAGACCGGGGTTCAATTCCCCGACAGGGGAGTCCTGCTACCTTTTTCTTGTCTCAGCTGGGGAAGTGGGCGCAATTGTCAGGACAAATACCATTTTGTAGCTAGCTTCAGCAAGCAGCAGTTGCACTTTCTTTCAAGTAAGGACAATGGATAAAACAATGTTCATTTCGCAGTGGAAATGAAGCAGATTGTGGGTCCCCAGTGTGTCAGTGTCCTGCTTTTTTGTGCATTGGTGGTTCAGTGGTAGAATTCTCGCCTGCCAGCGGGAGGCCGGGTTCGATTCCCCGCCAATGCAGTTTCTTTTGGTGTACTCTTCTGGGCCTCCCATATACCAGCATGACATGAATGCATCACTTACGTACATTGCTATTCATCTCCCAGTGAAAGTCAGGAGGCAGCAGCTGCTTATACATCTCTCAATGTCCCTTATGGCTTTGTAAATATTAGTCCTCCCAGTTTTAATCAGCTAATTAAATGGGTAGGACAGAAAAACAGGCAGCCAACAACCATTTTCCCCAATGTAATCACAGTTCCAACTTCTTCATGAGGATAATCAAAACTGAGGCAAAATCATTTTTGCTCTCTTTGTTACATCTCAAGGGAAGAGCAGTCGTCAATGTTTTGAAGATACAAAAGGCGATGGGTAGGTTCTGCCAAAATACTTACCGAGATGAGAGAATGTTAAAGGACCGACTTTCCAGATAAGTCCGAGTTGAAACTTGAAATTGAAGAAGTTCCTTTTATAGCGTCAGTTGAGGTTGACTGAAGTTGTTTGAATTCTCGGGTTATACAGTATGACAGCGATGGCCCATTTTTAATTTGTAGTCAATGGCAGCGAGGCGTGAAAGCAGTATTAATTCTGCTTGCTAGAGATGCAGTAGCCGAAGTGAGGGACAGTCAAAAGGCTAGAATGTCTTCAATCTTTTAATTTGATAGGATCTTCTGAGAATAAATTTCACGCTGAACAGGTGGTCGAGGAGGCAGCAATCCCATGAAAAGAGGCCTGCTGTTCTCACCTGAAGTCAGAACCCTCCCCATGCAAAACCCTAGCGGCGGATGATCCTCAGGCCATTTGTTTCACACGTCAGCTTTCATAAAACTTGCAGAAACTATGATAAACGGGTCAAGATATTTTGCCTGGTACTGTGAACTGCGTAAGGATTCAGGTATTGAGTCCTTTATTACATGTTTTGCGCCTTGTACATGAAGCATTGTTTGAGAAAAATGCAGCTGCATTGCTGAAATTGAGATGAAGGTGTTGTAAGCACAGTGTAAGGGCGGAAACATGGTGGCCGCAGGAATGGGAAAGCGAACGAAAAAGCCAGGCCTAGCTGGCACAAATGCACATCTTCGGTGAACTTGGCGAAGAACGCTGGTACATACCATGTAAGATGAGAAAGGTCACTCCTCCGGGGTATGACGTACAGCTAATCGGTGCATTTTGGCATCGACATTGGTAAAGAAACACTCTTGGACAATGAGTGAGCTTTCTGTTGATATTTCATGCAATAGCGCCCACTAGCTCCAACGCTGAGACTGCCGCTCAGGCTTGCGTTGTTTATATTTTTCAGATGACGCGCTCCAGAAATTAGTAGTGGGAGCAAGGGATG